TCCTCTGTAAACTTGACCATTTATTATCAGTTTGTCGACCTTAAAGAAGGCTTGTTGTTTGTCTCGCTTAGCTTTCTTCAGAACTGGGTATAGTTTTGCGTGGATATCGTCTATTTCTTTAGGATAATCATGTGCAAGTCCAATTCCGGTGTCTTTTAAGTTTTTGACTGAAAGACCAAACAAATTGTTTGTCCTGGTAGAAACTGAATTTTGCAGTAACAGGTCGTGGCTTATCAGGATTGTTTTGGTTGCGTCGAGTTGGCAAACGATGGACCCGCTCGAACCGAATATCATCAAACATCCTCTTTTCGGAAAGTTAATATTGACCTACACATGCATTGCCAGAGGCGTCATGCTAAACAAAAATCCTAATCTGGATGATTCCTTTTTCTTCTGACATCTGTGGAAGCATTTAAAAGAGATATATATATACTTTTTACTTTTCAGCTTCAAGTTACTGGTTTATCATGGAATTCTACTGGATCTGTTATTGCTGCCTCATATCCTTTCAGGCATTGTTTAATTGGTTTAGAGAGTAACGTTCATTTACTGTTCATGATTTTTGTTCACAAGATTGTGATTTCATAAGTAAACTTAAGTAATCTCCAGTCCTTAATGGAAATTCCATGCTTGTGGCTATAACCTAATGATCCGTTGAAAAATCAGTTTCTCACACACTGCTGGGAGCCATGCCAAGCCGAACCACACAGCCTGACCTTTATTAACATAAGAACATAATTGTCTTGCAATGACACAAAAAGTGGCTAGAGAATTAATTTCACCTCAACTTAACACATTCTACAAGTACTTCACAGGTTGGTGGGTAGGGCATGTCAGGCAATGGCAGATGGCAAAACAAAAACTGAAACCTTACACAAGCCTCGTGACCTGAAAGCCCCCGCACACCGGTACCCAGACTCCCAGTCGTGTGTGAGAAAAACATTTTCCACTTCTTTTGTTCCTCAGCTGACGGAAAACCACACTTCATCTGATCAAGATAAGTTTCATATAACAGGGCTGCCATTAAGCTTTTAGTCACCTGTAGCCGTATTCTCCACACCCATAGCAAATTCTTTATGGGTGAATTATATCAACAACAGGCAATTGCACCCGTATCATAAAGGGAAATTCAAGCACACTCAGCCATGACAAGTGCTACTGGATACAGCCCTTAACCTCACAGCCCTGTATAACATACATGTACATGCAATAATATTACTTACTGGAGACGTTTTTTTGCATCAGGCTTGATCTGCCATCTACCAGGTTGATAATAATATACTATCCAGATGCAATAAGCTGGAAGTTGTTTAGCTTAACATTTGCTAGATATGGAAGGTTTGATCATGAACATTGGTGTACTCATAAGGTAAATATGTTAACTTAATTAATCTGTCACTGCGAGTATTGATTTATTCTTTTATCCATGAAACCACTCCCTACAAGGCAGAGTACTATATATGGTATTTTTCCAAGTTAATAAGGTTGACCATTGTTAAATAATGACACACACTGTATCACTGATAATCAGATTCCTAAATTAATCTTGAAGGCAGAACATCTTTTATTTCTTTTGCAGTCAGCACTCTGTACCCGGAACACACTGTATCACTGATAATCAGATTCCTAAATTAATCTTGAAGGCAGAACATTTTATATTTCTTTCACAGTCAACAATCTGTACCTGGAACACACTGTATTACTAATAATCAGATTTCTAAATTAATCTTGAAGGCAGAACATTTTATATTTCTTTCACAGTCAGCACTCTGTACCTGGAACACACTGTACCACTGATAATCAGATTCCTAAATTGATCTTGAAGGCAGAACATTTTTCATTTCTTTCACAGTCAGCACTCTGTACCTGGAACATTGATAGGAGATTAATTGATCCAAACAAACCTGATGCTAGTATTGACCTCTCTGTAAGTAACTTAGTGCTCAATAAGAGATTTTACATACTGAAGGAATATCAACTTCCATTTTTTTAATTTAAGCACTCTTACTCGACTGATAAAAATCATAGCCCTTATCATTTTGCTCATGATGGTATAGAGACAACCTGAGTTGCAGAAAATCAAGCGAGGAAAATGATGTAATATGATCTTTAGTATATATAGAACTGGAGTTGTTATTCCTTTTATGCAATTTTTAGGAATGAGCATGCATAAAGGATTGCAAAGGATTAACATAGTCTAATTATTTTTATTGATGTACAGATAAAATACTGAAAGATTTACTCAGCTACTCACCATTTTTCTTATAGCTAATCTTTCAAAGTCTTTCAAAGCTAGAATTAAAAATGAATTACCGAGTATGTTCGACAAAGAAAATGTCTTTCTTCAGATACACAAGGTTATTCACAAACTGAAATATTTTAAGTAATTAAAATCAATGTCTTCTCTCATTATTCTCCCCTGATTTTATTTATTAGTAGCCTTAATATACAGAAATGATAGTAATATTAACTATATCTTTAATCTTAAATTAATTGTTATTATTGTTAATTAATTAGTCTAGTTATATGCATAAGCGATAAATGGCCCGCCTAGATTAGCACTTGCTATCCACGGGCCAAATAACATGTAAGTTTACAATGAAAGAAAATAAAGATTATTGTTGTTGTAGCTATACTTGACAGATAAAGAATTAATATATTAATTTTCTACGAGACTTGATGCCCAAAAATCCAATGATATCAGTACACTTATTTGAATAGATAGTTATAAAGATTATAAAAGTACAGTACTGATAGTCGCTCTAATTGTTTTGACAGAGCTGTTTGATGTGCATTGCATTCCATCCAAAACTACCCTCAGTCATTGCTGGAGGAACCTTTAATGGTACATGTGGAATGCATTTTCAGTTCTGCAGTCTCTTGAGTTCGAAAAATAGTGACTATTTAACTTTGTGTAATATGTGTACTGTAAGCATGTCACTCAATAGGTCATTTTGGGGTTGTTTTTTGCCTCTATTTCTGAATGTGTCTTCAAGCAAAGTCACCCTGAATAAAAAAAATTGTTTGACCTTAACATTCTCACTCATATTAAACTCATTTTCATGTGAAGAGTTTTGCATAACAACTCATTTTGAAACAGACAAAAGGCAACTTTATGCAATTATATTTATCTTATTTATATTTACAGTGTATCGGGCTCATTCCATGCAAGATTTGTTGTGATTATCATCTAATCAAAACGTGCGGAAATCTGGGGAAAAATGGGATTTCCTTGATTTCAAAGAAAGTTACCTATAGGTGTTTTTTGTAGAATAAACAATAGGCTGCTTTTTTTCTTTTTCAAGTCAAATGAAAATAATTATTAGTGGGAGAAATGAGTGAAGGAAAGTATTATTTGGTTGTATCTGTCAATTTCTTCCCTTCTCCTCAGGAAGATTCTGGGCCTTGAAGAAGTTGTCCCTTAGGAAAGCTGTCGACTGCTGGCATTTTGTTGCTAATGAGAGAGCTCACCTTATGGGATCAACACTTTGTGAGAAGCATCCCTTATAATATGGGAAGTTTCCCCTTTTTGGTGTACCCTTTATGGTTTCCCCTTCCTGCAGGTCATTACCTTTACTTAATGTAAGGTAGAGAGTTGCTGATCCATGCTATTTGATATTCAGGAGAGATACAAGTGTGGGACACTGGGAGAGAGGATGAAACTGTCATTGCTACATCTGGAATGGGTTCAGACTCGCATCGGGAACCAGTTACCAAGGTAACTATGTAATTCTATATGCAAGATGTCCCAAAGTATCCTACCTGTTTTAGAATAATCTACTGTGGTGTCGGGCTGATGTATTGTTTAAAACACACTTTTGTTAAGAATGTCTTGCAATCAATTATGCATTTAAGCCACCTGTGTGGCCAATATAATCCTGAGTTTACTTACAGAGTGGTTTTCACTGGAGTATCTAAAGCAATTATCAAGTAATCATCGGTGAAACTAAAATTAATTGTCACTTTCGGCTCTTACTTGGTGTAGAAGACACAGTTAAGGTAAAACAGTAGAGAACGAAAGGCCGGACAAAAGAAGAGCAAATACAATGAAAACAATAGATTTGTGAGGCGGTGTTCTACTGTGTCTTCTACACCAAGAAGGAGCCTCACTTTCTCACACACATTTTCTTGTGCTTTGCATGAACTACTTGTATTTACTTTGAGTTTTGATTGGTTCCTTGCATTGTCTGGGTCCTTTGTGATTAGCTAGAGTGGTAACTCTGGTTTTGGTTTTTTTAACTCTTAGTTGAAAACCACTCTTGTCAACCACTGGGTTACTTTATGATTAATGTTAAAATTGTAATTGCCTCTTTGATTATAGGTCTTGTGGAGTCTGGATCCCAGCTCCAAAGCCAGCAAGTATCAGGTACAGTGTACTATCAGAGTTCTACAGTAAGAAAAGCTTACTGTGTTGTTTCCAGGCTGCTTTTAAGTGACGATGACAATGTTACTGTGCATTTTATGACATTTCCTTGTTCCCAGATTCTTAGCATCAGTGGAGATGGCAAAGTCCTGGTATGGCAAATGTCCCCTGGGTCACATGACCTAAAATTGGTCAGCGGCTTTCTTTTACAAACAGACAGTGTTCCTCGGAGCATGCGTTTGAGTAAAGCTCGAGGTGATGCTGAAATGGGAGGTAATGTTTTTTCATGCTTGTTTCACGTGCATTTGGTAGTTTGTTTTTGTGTAAGTGTAACAGAGGTTTAAATGAACTGTGTGTGTTGTTGACCATTAAATGAAGCCTGAAGCACAATCACACAAATGCCCACATGTATTAAATTTTCTCATAACATAGGTAGCATTAATTACTTAAAAGCCACCAAACTCTGGATAGAAACTATCAAACTCAGTATACGAATTAGCGTGGATCATAATTCAATTGTTGCACACCATTAGTGGCGGCAAAGTTAACGTCACTTGGCCATTTTCATTGGCAATTTTATAGAACACTTGATTCATGCTTTTATATTTGCCGGTGCATCATCACATTACATGCATGACTTACACAGCCGGAAGTTTGAAGAGCACATCAGGAAGTTAAGGTTCCTCCCGGCTACGCCTCTGTTCTCATTGCCTGATGCACGCTAAAGCATTAATCCATTGTTAAACAAAGTTATAAAGCCTTACATAGTATTCTACTAACAGTAATGTTGGTTAAGTAACCAATGTCTACTCACCTCAACAGTCTTGTTCTTACTCCTTAAAATCTTCACTTGGTTTTAACTAATGGCTGTAAATTTGTTTTACTACTTATTGATGGTACAGCTCGCAGAGGTATGATGTTGACCTTTTGATGTTTGAATTTCGTTTCAGTGACCAGTATGTCATTTTCCCATGAAGACCGCAACCTCTTTGTCCTGGGATCGGAGGCTGGAGGAGTGTTCAAATGCTCCATGACATCAAGAGGACCCCCACTGACAAGTAAGTGTAAAGAAAAGGACTCTAACCTCTAGTTGACCTGCAATCCCATCGCACCATTTACAAGTCCTTTATAATTGGGCGAACAAAACAACAGATAAACAAAACAAACGATGCCCTGAGCCCTAACATCAAAAGAGATGCAGATTAACAAGAACGAGTCAGACTATAGGTTGTAAAAGAGGTGCAGGTCAACTGCGAGGAGGATAGCAAAAAGGCTTGCCTTTCACACTGCAGAAACTGGTGTCACTCTCTGGAGGTCATCATTGAGCCATGTAGTTATTTCAACCCCAAAGACTGCAACGAATTGCACATGCAAAGGACCTGCAGTTGGTGTTGAGAGTAACCTCACAGTTGTACTTGACAGTTACATGTACGTACGTTCTTCTGCACACTCACAAAAAGTAAATTAGACTATTCGCTCTCGATTTCTATCGCGTGACAGCTAACTCGGGCTGCGCTTTGGATAGAAATCTCAAGCTCACAATCTCATTGTTAAATAGTTTGACTTGTAACTGAAGATTTTCTATGTATAGGAATCAATATAAATTTTATAGCTATGATTTCAACCTCCTCAAAATACCGGAAAAAAGCTTAGGCTGTTTTAATGTATTCCTTTCTTCTGACAGATACCTATTCTTCCGTACCATTGCGTTCTCCAGTAACATTCGCTTTCTCCCCTCACTTTGGTCCTGTGTTCTCTGTGGACTGTTCTCCTTATCATAGAAATCTCTTCCTCACATGTGGTACAGATGCATCCGTCAGACTTTACTCAATGTTACAGGTCAGAAAATATGACGCAAATTTTAACTCAAAGATAAACGTCTTTTAGAGTAATAAAAATGTCAATAAAATCCCAAATGGAAATAACTTTAGTTGGAAAATTTGGATGTTTATTATCATCATTATCAACTTGGGACGGGTGGTTCAAAGGTGGGTTGAGATAACCAAGGATTAATGTGAAATTTAAATTCAGACATGGAAGATTAAAGAGCAAATTCAGTTTCATTCTTTTTTGGGTACAATTTGATGATCAGATGTCCTAAATAGAAAAAGAATAGAGAAACCCGGAGTAAAATTTAACCGTTAGCGCTAATCGGTCTTCGACAACTGGCAGGGTTATCACAGGTCAGGAAATGGTCAGAAAAATGTTCTTCAAGATCAGGGAAAAGTCAGATAATTTTATTTGGAGTCAGAGAAAATTGATATCTTGGAGACAAGTCAGGGAAAATTGAAATAATTTGACACGGCTGATTTAATATCACTGAAGGCGGAAAGAAACATTTGAGCCATACCAAAGCCATAAAGTAACGGTACCTTTCTTTTCTAACAGTCCAAGCCCCTATTCTCGGCGGAGCCGGGAGCGGGGTACTTATTTAGGGTCCGTTGGTCTCCATCACGTCCCTTGGTGTTTTCCGTCGTGACTGNCATAAGTAAACTTAAGTAATCTCCAGTCCTTAATGGAAATTCCATGCTTGTGGCTATAACCTAATGATCCGTTGAAAAATCAGTTTCTCACACACTGCTGGGAGCCATGCCAAGCCGAACCACACAGCCTGACCTTTATTAACATAAGAACATAATTGTCTTGCAATGACACAAAAAGTGGCTAGAGAATTAATTTCACCTCAACTTAACACATTCTACAAGTACTTCACAGGTTGGTGGGTAGGGCATGTCAGGCAATGGCAGATGGCAAAACAAAAACTGAAACCTTACACAAGCCTCGTGACCTGAAAGCCCCCGCACACCGGTACCCAGACTCCCAGTCGTGTGTGAGAAAAACATTTTCCACTTCTTTTGTTCCTCAGCTGACGGAAAACCACACTTCATCTGATCAAGATAAGTTTCATATAACAGGGCTGCCATTAAGCTTTTAGTCACCTGTAGCCGTATTCTCCACACCCATAGCAAATTCTTTATGGGTGAATTATATCAACAACAGGCAATTGCACCCGTATCATAAAGGGAAATTCAAGCACACTCAGCCATGACAAGTGCTACTGGATACAGCCCTTAACCTCACAGCCCTGTATAACATACATGTACATGCAATAATATTACTTACTGGAGACGTTTTTTTGCATCAGGCTTGATCTGCCATCTACCAGGTTGATAATAATATACTATCCAGATGCAATAAGCTGGAAGTTGTTTAGCTTAACATTTGCTAGATATGGAAGGTTTGATCATGAACATTGGTGTACTCATAAGGTAAATATGTTAACTTAATTAATCTGTCACTGCGAGTATTGATTTATTCTTTTATCCATGAAACCACTCCCTACAAGGCAGAGTACTATATATGGTATTTTTCCAAGTTAATAAGGTTGACCATTGTTAAATAATGACACACACTGTATCACTGATAATCAGATTCCTAAATTAATCTTGAAGGCAGAACATCTTTTATTTCTTTTGCAGTCAGCACTCTGTACCCGGAACACACTGTATCACTGATAATCAGATTCCTAAATTAATCTTGAAGGCAGAACATTTTATATTTCTTTCACAGTCAACAATCTGTACCTGGAACACACTGTATTACTAATAATCAGATTTCTAAATTAATCTTGAAGGCAGAACATTTTATATTTCTTTCACAGTCAGCACTCTGTACCTGGAACACACTGTACCACTGATAATCAGATTCCTAAATTGATCTTGAAGGCAGAACATTTTTCATTTCTTTCACAGTCAGCACTCTGTACCTGGAACATTGATAGGAGATTAATTGATCCAAACAAACCTGATGCTAGTATTGACCTCTCTGTAAGTAACTTAGTGCTCAATAAGAGATTTTACATACTGAAGGAATATCAACTTCCATTTTTTTAATTTAAGCACTCTTACTCGACTGATAAAAATCATAGCCCTTATCATTTTGCTCATGATGGTATAGAGACAACCTGAGTTGCAGAAAATCAAGCGAGGAAAATGATGTAATATGATCTTTAGTATATATAGAACTGGAGTTGTTATTCCTTTTATGCAATTTTTAGGAATGAGCATGCATAAAGGATTGCAAAGGATTAACATAGTCTAATTATTTTTATTGATGTACAGATAAAATACTGAAAGATTTACTCAGCTACTCACCATTTTTCTTATAGCTAATCTTTCAAAGTCTTTCAAAGCTAGAATTAAAAATGAATTACCGAGTATGTTCGACAAAGAAAATGTCTTTCTTCAGATACACAAGGTTATTCACAAACTGAAATATTTTAAGTAATTAAAATCAATGTCTTCTCTCATTATTCTCCCCTGATTTTATTTATTAGTAGCCTTAATATACAGAAATGATAGTAATATTAACTATATCTTTAATCTTAAATTAATTGTTATTATTGTTAATTAATTAGTCTAGTTATATGCATAAGCGATAAATGGCCCGCCTAGATTAGCACTTGCTATCCACGGGCCAAATAACATGTAAGTTTACAATGAAAGAAAATAAAGATTATTGTTGTTGTAGCTATACTTGACAGATAAAGAATTAATATATTAATTTTCTACGAGACTTGATGCCCAAAAATCCAATGATATCAGTACACTTATTTGAATAGATAGTTATAAAGATTATAAAAGTACAGTACTGATAGTCGCTCTAATTGTTTTGACAGAGCTGTTTGATGTGCATTGCATTCCATCCAAAACTACCCTCAGTCATTGCTGGAGGAACCTTTAATGGTACATGTGGAATGCATTTTCAGTTCTGCAGTCTCTTGAGTTCGAAAAATAGTGACTATTTAACTTTGTGTAATATGTGTACTGTAAGCATGTCACTCAATAGGTCATTTTGGGGTTGCTTTTTGCCTCTATTTCTGAATGTGTCTTCAAGCAAAGTCACCCTGAATAAAAAAAATTGTTTGACCTTAACATTCTCACTCATATTAAACTCATTTTCATGTGAAGAGTTTTGCATAACAACTCATTTTGAAACAGACAAAAGGCAACTTTATGCAATTATATTTATCTTATTTATATTTACAGTGTATCGGGCTCATTCCATGCAAGATTTGTTGTGATTATCATCTAATCAAAACGTGCGGAAATCTGGGGAAAAACGGGATTTCCTTGATTTCAAAGAAAGTTACCTATAGGTGTTTTTTGTAGAATAAACAATAGGCTGCTTTTTTTCTTTTTCAAGTCAAATGAAAATAATTATTAGTGGGAGAAATGAGTGAAGGAAAGTATTATTTGGTTGTATCTGTCAATTTCTTCCCTTCTCCTCAGGAAGATTCTGGGCCTTGAAGAAGTTGTCCCTTAGGAAAGCTGTCGACTGCTGGCATTTTGTTGCTAATGAGAGAGCTCACCTTATGGGATCAACACTTTGTGAGAAGCATCCCTTATAATATGGGAAGTTTCCCCTTTTTGGTGTACCCTTTATGGTTTCCCCTTCCTGCAGGTCATTACCTTTACTTAATGTAAGGTAGAGAGTTGCTGATCCATGCTATTTGATATTCAGGAGAGATACAAGTGTGGGACACTGGGAGAGAGGATGAAACTGTCATTGCTACATCTGGAATGGGTTCAGACTCGCATCGGGAACCAGTTACCAAGGTAACTATGTAATTCTATATGCAAGATGTCCCAAAGTATCCTACCTGTTTTAGAATAATCTACTGTGGTGTCGGGCTGATGTATTGTTTAAAACACACTTTTGTTAAGAATGTCTTGCAATCAATTATGCATTTAAGCCACCTGTGTGGCCAATATAATCCTGAGTTTACTTACAGAGTGGTTTTCACTGGAGTATCTAAAGCAATTATCAAGTAATCATCGGTGAAACTAAAATTAATTGTCACTTTCGGCTCTTACTTGGTGTAGAAGACACAGTTAAGGTAAAACAGTAGAGAACGAAAGGCCGGACAAAAGAAGAGCAAATACAATGAAAACAATAGATTTGTGAGGCGGTGTTCTACTGTGTCTTCTACACCAAGAAGGAGCCTCACTTTCTCACACACATTTTCTTGTGCTTTGCATGAACTACTTGTATTTACTTTGAGTTTTGATTGGTTCCTTGCATTGTCTGGGTCCTTTGTGATTAGCTAGAGTGGTAACTCTGGTTTTGGTTTTTTTAACTCTTAGTTGAAAACCACTCTTGTCAACCACTGGGTTACTTTATGATTAATGTTAAAATTGTAATTGCCTCTTTGATTATAGGTCTTGTGGAGTCTGGATCCCAGCTCCAAAGCCAGCAAGTATCAGGTACAGTGTACTATCAGAGTTCTACAGTAAGAAAAGCTTACTGTGTTGTTTCCAGGCTGCTTTTAAGTGACGATGACAATGTTACTGTGCATTTTATGACATTTCCTTGTTCCCAGATTCTTAGCATCAGTGGAGATGGCAAAGTCCTGGTATGGCAAATGTCCCCTGGGTCACATGACCTAAAATTGGTCAGCGGCTTTCTTTTACAAACAGACAGTGTTCCTCGGAGCATGCGTTTGAGTAAAGCTCGAGGTGATGCTGAAATGGGAGGTAATGTTTTTTCATGCTTGTTTCACGTGCATTTGGTAGTTTGTTTTTGTGTAAGTGTAACAGAGGTTTAAATGAACTGTGTGTGTTGTTGACCATTAAATGAAGCCTGAAGCACAATCACACAAATGCCCACATGTATTAAATTTTCTCATAACATAGGTAGCATTAATTACTTAAAAGCCACCAAACTCTGGATAGAAACTATCAAACTCAGTATACGAATTAGCGTGGATCATAATTCAATTGTTGCACACCATTAGTGGCGGCAAAGTTAACGTCACTTGGCCATTTTCATTGGCAATTTTATAGAACACTTGATTCATGCTTTTATATTTGCCGGTGCATCATCACATTACATGCATGACTTACACAGCCGGAAGTTTGAAGAGCACATCAGGAAGTTAAGGTTCCTCCCGGCTACGCCTCTGTTCTCATTGCCTGATGCACGCTAAAGCATTAATCCATTGTTAAACAAAGTTATAAAGCCTTACATAGTATTCTACTAACAGTAATGTTGGTTAAGTAACCAATGTCTACTCACCTCAACAGTCTTGTTCTTACTCCTTAAAATCTTCACTTGGTTTTAACTAATGGCTGTAAATTTGTTTTACTACTTATTGATGGTACAGCTCGCAGAGGTATGATGTTGACCTTTTGATGTTTGAATTTCGTTTCAGTGACCAGTATGTCATTTTCCCATGAAGACCGCAACCTCTTTGTCCTGGGATCGGAGGCTGGAGGAGTGTTCAAATGCTCCATGACATCAAGAGGACCCCCACTGACAAGTAAGTGTAAAGAAAAGGACTCTAACCTCTAGTTGACCTGCAATCCCATCGCACCATTTACAAGTCCTTTATAATTGGGCGAACAAAACAACAGATAAACAAAACAAACGATGCCCTGAGCCCTAACATCAAAAGAGATGCAGATTAACAAGAACGAGTCAGACTATAGGTTGTAAAAGAGGTGCAGGTCAACTGCGAGGAGGATAGCAAAAAGGCTTGCCTTTCACACTGCAGAAACTGGTGTCACTCTCTGGAGGTCATCATTGAGCCATGTAGTTATTTCAACCCCAAAGACTGCAACGAATTGCACATGCAAAGGACCTGCAGTTGGTGTTGAGAGTAACCTCACAGTTGTACTTGACAGTTACATGTACGTACGTTCTTCTGCACACTCACAAAAAGTAAATTAGACTATTCGCTCTCGATTTCTATCGCGTGACAGCTAACTCGGGCTGCGCTTTGGATAGAAATCTCAAGCTCACAATCTCATTGTTAAATAGTTTGACTTGTAACTGAAGATTTTCTATGTATAGGAATCAATATAAATTTTATAGCTATGATTTCAACCTCCTCAAAATACCGGAAAAAAGCTTAGGCTGTTTTAATGTATTCCTTTCTTCTGACAGATACCTATTCTTCCGTACCATTGCGTTCTCCAGTAACATTCGCTTTCTCCCCTCACTTTGGTCCTGTGTTCTCTGTGGACTGTTCTCCTTATCATAGAAATCTCTTCCTCACATGTGGTACAGATGCATCCGTCAGACTTTACTCAATGTTACAGGTCAGAAAATATGACGCAAATTTTAACTCAAAGATAAACGTCTTTTAGAGTAATAAAAATGTCAATAAAATCCCAAATGGAAATAACTTTAGTTGGAAAATTTGGATGTTTATTATCATCATTATCAACTGGGACGGGTGGTTCAAAGGTGGGTTGAGATAACCAAGGATTAATGCGAAATTTGAATTCAGACATGGAAGGTTAAAGAGCAAATTCGGTTTCATTCTTTTTTGTCTACGATTTGATGATTAGATGTTCTAAAAAGAAAAAGAATAGAGAAACCCGGAGTAAAATTTAACCGTTAGCGCTAATCGGCTTTCGACAACTGGCAGGGTTGTCACAGATCAGGAAATGGTCAGAAAAAAGTTCTTCAAGATCAGGGAAAAGTCAGATAATTTTATTTGGAGTCAGAGAAAATTGATATCTTGAAGAAAACTCGGGGAAAATTGAAATAATTTGACACGGCTGATTTAATACCACTGAAGGCGGAAAGAAACATTTGAGCCATACCAAAGGCATAAAGTAACGGTACCTGTCTTTTCTAACAGTCCAAGCCCCTATTCTCGGTGGAGCCGGGAGCGGGGTACTTATTTAGGGTCCGTTGGTCTCCATCACGTCCCTTGGTGTTTTCCGTCGTGACTGCCGATGGTCGCTTGCTTATTTATGATTTGAAGGTGAGTGTCTACAATTATATCAGAGTGTCTGCTGAAATCAGTGCCTTTAGCTGCAAGATGACGAGATAAACGCTCTGAAGATGACTGCTGTTAATCCCTCGTGATAGATGTGTTGTGAACGTTGGAAGTGGTTTGCACCCAGGAATATCGTTAGTTTGTGACCGGGGGGAGGGAAGTCCCATATAAAAAAGTCGGGGATGCTCGTCGCAAAACGTGAATTAAACACCGAAAAGACACCAGTTTGGGCGTGGCTCGAACTTTATTTGACTCCTAAAAGATACCACTTAAAACGGAACAGGCTTCCGCTGTTCAGAAAAGGGGCCTGTAGCGTAAAAACCCAAGTAAGTAACCTAAAAATAGAAATAAGAGCATTTTTTAATTATTTCTTTGAATGCCCCTTGAAAGATACTTTAACAGCTGAGAATAGGGGTGTTTCGCCCAGAACATCCTTAGTGAGACCAGAATCCTTGATTTATACCCCTAAGCGAGAAGACGAGAATTCCGCCCTCCCCCTGTGGGGTTTGTAGCCCGTTTTGTGCGACTGTGTTAGAGACCTTGAGATCTTGACAGTACTTTCGTTTAATGAAATCATTAACTGGTGAAGGTTTTATTCGTAGGCCAATCGCGTCAACCCAGTTGTCACGCTAGAAGTCACAGCGAACAAATCGCCTGTATATTCACTTGAGTACAACCTTCAAAGGTATTCCTTCTATTCTTTGTTGTCACTGCTTTGCAAGTTTGTAGCTATTAGCCTGAGAGCGGGCTCACGTTCATGGCCTAACGCGGTGAGTCAGTCTCCTGGCCTTGCCGCGGCCTTGATCCTCGCGCGTAAGCCTGGTGCTAGGCTAGTGACTATTGGCTAGTTTTAACTGAAATATTTATTTGTTTTTCTTTATTTGTATTTGTTATCTTTCAGACGTCAGACAGTAGCCACTGGTGATTCACAAGGACGAATCAAAATATGGCGGCTAAGCGACGACTTGACAACCCAGTCAGCCCGAGAAGAGGAATTCTTAGCTGTCATAGCGAATGACGCGCAGACAGAATGACAAGCAACATACGCTATTCCTGCATGCTTTGACCTATGGGTTGTCAAACGACAAGCGAAACTCGCGCAAGAGACCACGCGTGGGGGTTTATCCGCGTCGCTCGCGTCGCGCCTCGAATATCCGCGCTCGCTCCACTTTTGAGTTTCGCTTTTTTTCTCGACTCTTTAGAAGAGGAAAAAAAACAGTCACAGTTTAACTGAAAGGTTAGATTATTCTGGATCAAAGGACTGAGGCTTCTACTTCAGAATCAGTTGCCTCTGGTTGATTTTGGACGTTTACCCCTAGTCTGTGTAAAAAAGTATGAATGGAAACTTTGATGTACCTTAGTTAAACAAAGCGCAATTTCCAGATAGGTGGGTGTGTCAATGGCAGATTGATTGATTGTGTATGAAAGAAATCAGTGACTGGTAGTACATGGTATTTATTAAATGTATCTCAAGATAAATATTATTACAGACAACTTAATTTAGCGAATTTTGCCTGACTAAATTTCATTGAAAATGCTATTGTAGGCCTCGTTAAATCGCCAATACGTTTCGGTTGAGATCACCAAATCAATTCAAAGATCCAACTTCCATTGTCAGACTGATTTTGGTGATTTAAAACCAAACCTGAAGAAGTTTTTGCTTAAACTAGTGTCCCTAAAGTATCATTTCATGGGTAGTAATTGTCTTAAAATATTGTTTACGAAAATCTCCACTGGTTATTGTTGCGCATTTCTTAATTGCTAACGTTCAGTGGAATCAGAAGCTCCTTGGTTGGAACTATTTAGAGTCTGATAAGTGGCGGGTATAATTCAGTCCCAATGGCGGATCCAGACCTTGAGCTAAGG